GGGGGGAGCTCAGTGTCCAGAGGCTGCAGGAAGACCCGTGGCCCCCCAGGGGACCCAGCTGAGTGAAAGGGGGAGCCAGCAACCATGCCCAGGGCTGGCGATCCCCTGGCCAGGAGCCTTGGACAGTTTTGGAGCAAGCCAGGTAACCCCCGTCTGCAGCAAGATGAGACTCCGCCAGCCAGTAGAATGGAGAGGATGTCTGGCCTCTGCGAGGTACAGCACAGCCCAAGTTCTATGTGGGCATCGAAGTGAGGGGGCAGGCAGCCTCAGACCCCTTGGGGTGGGGTCCACAGGCCCATGAACCCCCAGTACTCAGCTTAGTCTCTTCTCTTCATGTTTTCCCAGCCAAGACTGCCCCTTCTCAAAGCCACACCCTTCCTTTGTTCAAAAACCTTCCCTGCTCAGGTGAGCACTGGCTGGGCCCTGGTCTAGGTGACATGAGGTCCCTCAGGGAGACCCCGCCGCTGGGCAGTGCTTACAGACGCAAGCCAGTAGGGGTCACCCACAGCCCAGCACAGCAACCAGCAAATGCCCAACCTGCCCACCAGAGTGTACTGCATGCCCACTACGTCACACCAGGTCATGCAGAGACTGCAGCCTTGGAGTTCTTCATCCCCAATCTGCCAGGGAGATGGGCACCGGGCAATGTCCCCATTTCACAGGTGGGCAAACTGAGGCAAAGCAGAGGCGCGCCTTGTCCAAGGACAAATCACAACCCAGGAGTCCGGCCGGGCTTCCAAGCCTAGCTCAGCCCCGTAGCTCACAAACACTGCCCGAGCCAGAGATCTTTGGGGATGATTATCATGGGGGAGAAACCGAGGCAGCACTCTGGAGATGGCTTCGCCAGGGATGTTCCAGGGCATCGCTGCCCGGCTTCGCTCCACGCTGGACGCGGACCAGCCTTGCCAAGAAACGCCGCGCCACTGCGTTGCCTGCGTTTGGTTTCAATTACAACCCGGTCTCGGGGCCGTATATCAAGGCGCTGTGCGTGATTTACAGAGCGTGGTACAATATAATCACAACTCGGCAACAATGTACAGGCCAGATTTACTTCTCCCAAGCAAATATGTCTCTGAGTAATTCATTATCCAACAGGGCTTCCGCTCACAACTCATCCCTGAACCATTAGCCAATCAGATCGGCCCCCACGGCGCATCACCAACGTGCTGTCCAATGGGGCTCCCAGATCCGGGCGCACGGTCGGCTCCCCGCCCCACGGGAGCCATGCTCACGACCCGTCTCTGCAGCTCACAACTCACGCTTAAACAACCCGACTTTGGTTTATTGCACCCCAGATTTACGGCTTCTAAACAACTTATTATCTGACACGGCTCAGCTCATTGAAAAGCCGAGGGACGGGTCATAAACAATTCATTACCCGCCGCGCCGCCAGCCGCCTGCAGGCTCAATAGGCGCAA